CAGCATTTGATTTTGTTTTGGTAATTTTATACATCATTGAAGCAATGATTATGTCTATGTCATTGTTCTAACTGAAAATAAGAACATTATTTCATAATCTTTGACTAACTGAAAATTATGCATGGATGCAACGATTTTGCGGTACAGTTGATGTCAGACGGCAGAATCCTGCAAGCTGCTCCGTATCACCATTTGTTGACCTCAAGCAAAGATTTTCAAGACCTTGTGAATGCTCACAAAGAGACTGCTGGTTCTGACCGGCTTGTGGATGTTACTTCTGAAAGAAATTCAAATTCTGCCAAAGAGATAAGAAAAACATATGTGGAGAAGGAAAAGCAATTCGAAGCACCAGAAGGAGATCAATTGATTAAGCAAGAAGAGAGAGAAACTGGAGACCAGGGGCTTAAGCCTTACTTAACATACCTGAATCAGAACAATGGATACATATACTTCTCCGTGGCTTCTATTTCTCATCTTATATTTTTGATTGGTCAAATATTGCAAAACTCGTGGATGGCGGCTAATGTTGACAATCCTAAAGTCACCACTTTGAGACTGATTCTAGTTTACTTGTTAATTGGAGTAACTTCAACAGTATTCTTATTGATGAGAAGTCTTTTTACAGTTGCTATGGGCCTCCAATCTTCGAAGTCTTTATTTTTACAGCTACTGAACTCCCTTTTTCGTGCACCTATGACGTTTTATGATTCCACACCTTTGGGACGGATACTTAGTAGGGTAAGAATATTAAATGGACCTTTCTCTTTCCCTTTTTCCATCTAAGTTAATGCAATGAATGGGAAATACTAGCAATGGAAACATTTGCTTTGACTATTTCTTCTTTGTTTAGGTCTCTTCTGATCTCAGCATTGTTGATCTCGATGTTCCATTTGGTCTTCTTTTCGCCGTGGGAGCTACTAGCAATTGTTATGCTAGTCTAACTGTTTTAGCAGTAGTTACTTGGCAAGTCTTGTTTGTCTCCATACCGATGCTCTATTTTGCACTGCGGTTGCAGGTAATGAACATATTTTTTAATTAAATTGAAGTGAAGATTTGGAGTTCTGTTTTTACAATAATACGTTATAATTATCTTTCCTAAATTTAAAATGGGCTCGTTGAAAAGTTTTTTTTCCCTCCATACAGAGATACTACTTTGCTTCAGCAAAAGAACTGATGCGGATGAATGGCACAACAAAATCCTTTGTAGCCAACCATCTTGCTGAATCAGTTGCTGGAGCTGTGACAATAAGGGCTTTTGAAGAGGAAGATCGTTTTTTTGCAAAGAACCTTGATCTAATCGATATCAATGCTACTCCTTTCTTTCATAGTTTTGCTGCAAATGAGTGGTTGATTCAGCGGTTAGAAACAGTCAGTGCTGTTGTTCTTGCATCTGCCGCACTCTGTATAGCTGTACTTCCAACCGGAACATTTTCCTCTGGTGAGACTTCTTCTATTAGTACCCTTACAATTTCCCTTTTATTGTTTTCTTAACCATAGTTGTGTTTTATGCAAGTAGTAAAATTTCAACATATGACGCTATTTCAGGATTTATTGGCATGGCTCTCTCCTATGGCCTTTCACTTAATGCTTCCTTAGTATTTTCAATCCAAAATCAATGCAATATAGCGAATTACATAATATCAGTGGAGAGGCTAAATCAATATATGCATGTACCAAGTGAGGCTCCTGAAGTAATAGAAGGAAATCGCCCACCGGTGAATTGGCCAGTTGTTGGTAAAGTAGAAATAAAGGAACTCAAGGTATTTGTTATTATTTTTTAACTCATTTGCATATCGTTCTTTTCAAAATGTGTGCTTGAACTGAAACACGATTTGTTTCATGATATCGGAACAGATACGGTACAGGCATGATGCACCACTAGTACTCCGCGGAATCACATGCACATTTGAAGGAGGACACAAAATTGGTATTGTTGGTCGAACAGGAAGTGGCAAAACCACTCTTATTGGTGCTTTATTTCGTCTAGTCGAGCCAGCGGGTGGAAAGATAATTGTTGATGGCATTGACATTAGTTCCATTGGACTTCATGATTTGAGGTTGCGCTTTGGTATTATACCTCAGGATCCTACTCTTTTTAATGGAACGGTCAGATACAATTTGGATCCTTTATTTCAACACTCTGATCAAGAGATATGGGAGGTAGTATTATTACCTGCTAAGTTACTTTTCAGCATTTAACTAATAACAACATGGAGTTTTTTCTTCCTGTTTATTTAATTATCTCTATTTTCAATTTCCAATAATTAATGAGGATTAATTGTGATTTCTTTACAAAGGTTCTTGGCAAGTGTCAGTTGCAAGAGGCTGTCCAAGAGAAAGAAGGTGGTTTAGACTCATCAGGTACATTTTCATGTTTTGCTAACAGAACTTTGCAGTGATCAATACCTGTCTAGTGTTCTGATTGGATAGGTTTATTTGAACTTAACTGCTATCATAAAAACTTTTGATAATGTCTGGAACAGTGTAGTCAAGATCGAGTGTGGGTCTTAAGATCTTATGATCTTACGTGCTGAAGTTGTCTTTTAGTGCTACGATCTTAGAAAAAACTTTTTTCGTGCACTTTGTGGTCAAGATCGAGTGCTGGGTCTTAAGATCTTACGATCTTATGTGCTGAAGTTGCCTGTTATATGACTATATTGATATGGGAATTACATAATATATTAGATGATTAGATTTGTTAGTTAGATTTATGTCTTTTGAGTTGCGTATTTTGAACGAAGTCTTTTGAACTTGTTAAATTATAGAATGATGGTTATGTGTTATTAATTAAATTGGTTGAATTTTGTCATTTATAGGTTATTTTGTCCATGTATTATAATTTTCATGTTTATGTGTGTGTGTATAAATATGTTAAATTACCGCTTTGCCCTTCGGTAAGATCTTAAGTGCCGTGTTACGATCCTAGTTTTATGATCTTTCACAAGCCATCCGATCCTACTTAAGATCTAGTGCTTGACTACCTTGGTCTGGAAGAGCTCATGAAAATAGCTTATTGGAATGTCTATGAAAACAACTTATAGCTTATATGAAAACAGTTTGACTTTATTTTTTCTTTTGTTATAGAAATAACTCATATATAAGCACTTTATGACGAGCACTTGGTTATTGTTGTTGCTGCTGCTGTTGTTGTATCCAAACAGTAGTTCTTGATACCAATGTTTAATAACAAATTGTTATACAGTTGTTGAAGATGGGGCCAATTGGAGCATGGGACAACGACAATTGTTCTGTTTGGGCCGTGCTTTGCTGAGGAGAAGTCGGGTATTGGTGCTCGATGAAGCAACTGCGTCAATTGATAATGCAACTGACTTGATTCTGCAGAAAACTATTAGGACTGAATTTGCAGATTGTACGGTAATCACGGTTGCTCACAGGATACCGACCGTGATGGATTGCACAAAGGTTCTCTCCATCAGTGATGGTAAGTACTCCCTCCGTTTCAAAATGACTGTCGTTTAAGGTTTTTGCACACAGATTAAGGAATGCAATGATATTGTCATAAGATATTGCACTTTTACTAAATTAGTCTTATTAATGTATTGGAAATAGTGTACAGAATAATAATTATATGACACAATTGGAAAAATAGCAATTATTACTACATTGAAAAGTGAGAATGACATTCATTTTGAAACAAAAATTTTCTCCTAAAACGACAGTCATTTTAAAACGGAGGGAGGAGCATATTAATTACTCTTGTTGATTCCACATTTGAAAATTTAGCACATATTGTGAAGAAAGCATTTGATCCTTTCATTATTCTGTTCTAAGAAAATAAAACGTGCAATTGAATTTTCAGGAAAATTAGTAGAGTATGATGAGCCAATGAAGCTGATGAAGAGAGAAGGATCTTTGTTTGGGAAGCTTGTCAAAGAATACTGGTCTCATTTTCAATCTGCAGAGTTTCATTAAAGCTGAAAATGTTTCTAGTTTTTGTAGGATTGGCGAAAAGCTGAAAATATTAAATTTGGACAAACACTGATCCTAGGTGGAAGAAAATGATGCAAAAAAATTCAATTATAGGTGAGGTATGGGCAGTTTCACACTATTGTACAAAGCTTTGGAACTTTGGATAAACTTCCTTGACCAATTCACCAGATGCTATATCTCCTTTAATATATGGGTATAGATTATATAAATTCTCATTATAAATTTGCAAAGACACTTCCATTGATAGGTGAGACTTCATAAACAAAGTGATCACTGATCACATAGCACCTAGTAAGAAGACCTACTGAATGTGCTACTTATTCTAAATACATAATAAGGACTACAGATTTAAGTAGTTAATTAAAGACTCCTCTTAATAGCATTACTGTATCCACTTTGTGCATCATTGAATCTCTTCCAAATCATGACTCCGCCGTATTTAGGAGAACTCTTAATAGCAGGAAGAACTTGAGAGATCAAAACATCAGAAGGAATAAAACCACCACTTGTAGTAGCAGCAGCTTCAGCAGGAACACCTAAAAACACTTGATTAGCTTGACTTGAAGTCCATTGATTCCAAGCCTTAACGAGTTTGTCAATATTTCCATCTGAATATTGACAGTGACCATTATTATAAAACTGAACCCAAACATAATCAAACAAACCAGTATTAATAGCTGAATCCAAATTAGTATCAGGGAAAGGACACTGGTGTTGCAGACAAGTAAACTCTCTTTTGTGCACTAAAACCTTTTAGTGCTTTCGCAAGTTCATCAAAATGTTCACCACCAGCTTCAATATCAAAATCAATTCCATCCAAAACAGCATCACCTAATGGTCTTGAAGATGACGTGCCACCCAAGAAATTGTCCCATAGGTAATTTGCAAGTTGTGTGGCTTCTTGGGCTGTACCAAGAAAGTAAGTACCCTCGACACCTCCGAGAGAGAGGAACACTTTGATTCCCATGCCTTGACAGGTTTGAATTTCACTACTAAACTTTGTGCAGTATCTTTCACTCCTAAACTTTGTGCAGCCATTGATACGTGGATCACAATGACCAGCAAGATTTATTTGTGGAATTTGGCCCGTCAAAAGTGGATAGAAAAGCTATGTTTACAAACTGGTAATTGTTTGTGTTGCAAGCATCTGCCAAGGAACCTTCACCTCCATCTTGGCCCCAATAGACTGCAATTCCTGCAGCATGAGAGTATTTGAAAAGGGAAACGAGGAAAAGAGATAATAAAAGGATTGAAACTTGTTTGAAGGATGCCATGTTTTTTGAAGGTTGTTTTGTGATTTGTGTTGAAAATGTAGTTATCTGGTGGAAAGTATGTAAATAAAAAGTTGGAAGAAGAAATTATGAGAACCGTGTTGTGTATGTTGGGCGAGAAATCTGAACAACTAGTATATCTTCTTAGAAATATCAAGACAAGCTCATAGCACTTCACTTAATGATTCTCTCAGTCTTAATTACACGTTGTCCTCCTATTTATCATAGAAATTGTTGATATCTTTTTTAAATCAAAGTTTTTGGTTATTAAATTTGTCACAATTTTGTTCCAAACTCTTTTTTTCTTTTCCAAAAATGTAATTTATTATCTTAATTTTGATGATGATGAGTCCGTTGAAACCAAAATTGCAACTAATGTAATACTTGAAAGATAATATAAATTCCACTTTAGGGACTGCTTTCTACAAGAACCCTAGCAGGGAAACTCTAATATCTGTCGTACCTCGAGAAAGCACGATCCTTCCCTCTTTCCTTGATTCACACAAAGTAGGGTTCCTTGGTAATATTGTTCCTTCGACCCAACTCGCTCTTCCCTTTCTTCTTAATACTTCTCCAAGCTCTCACAACCTTCTTGAACAGTTCAGGGTTCTCAGTTCCCAAATCATGTATCATGAAGGCCTCTAAATTCTTCTCTTCGGGAGGAGCCACCATTGGATACCCAAGCTGCCTCACTGATAGCATGGGATTGGAGTTAATACAGCCTCGAGTTCCAATAAGCGGGATGTTTGGGAACTCACCACAACTGGAAATAACTTTGTCATAATCTAGCGAAAACCAGGAAAGGTCAGCAGATCTGAGAGACACCATCCTTTGAGCCCAACTATCACTAGCTTGGTCAACAAATGGTCCCTTCGTTGGCAAATGCATGTTTAACCATTGATACAGAAGAGGTGCACAATAGACAATTGATCCTCCATTCTTTTCACTCCTCCAACTCAGAAAATAAAAGACTTTTGCCAGAAGAGTTGGCACATGATTCTTAGTTAGGAAGATATGAATGACATTCATATCCACGAAATCGTCTATGTTGGGAAACAAAACAATCCCATAAATAGCCAAAGCTACAACAGCGTAACAGGCATCCCAACTCTGAGCCTCTGTAAGGATATCATCTCTTTCTATGAGAAATTTGAGAGGAAGTCCCTTAACACCCCCTTTAGTTTTTCAGTTATCAGAGATATTCTTCTTGGACATGTGGAGAGCATCAGCAATAATCTTATCATCCATAAATAGATCCACACCCACGAATGGTAACTTGTTCTTCATAGGAATACCCACCAATTTTTCGTACTCCTCAAGTGTTGGCGCTAATTGGAAGTCTTGAAACGTGAAGCACCTCAAAGGAGAATCATAAAACTGAGCCAGAGTAACGAGCGCTTTCTGATCTACCACTTGGATTAAGATATGAATCATCTTGCCAAAATCTTTTCCAAAGTTGATTCTGAAAACAGCAGGGATACGTGAAACCAAGCCACGTAAGTCTTCCAACTTGGGTTTCCTGACATTGTAAGGATAAGTGCTTCTAGTGTTTGTTCCCATGATTTATGAGTACCTGCAAATTAATTCTTAGATTCCCTGAAAAAACCAAAGAAAATGCGAATGTTATGATATGAACATGAAATGCATATGCAAGGATAAGGACCACAAGCACAAGTCTGAAGCAGGAAGGATGATCACTGATTACAGAAACCCCATGGGTAGGCTTCTAACAGGTAGGTGCCTAGAGTCATAGATTTCTTTCAAATACATTATGACCATGGCAAAGGGATACCACAATAATAATATATTTGAAAGGATCTCGTCTAGGTGAGGTTTTCGCGTCGTCCCACGAGAAAGACTCCTCGTGAATCTCCACTACACAATCATCGGGTCCAAGGTTTCTAAATGTATCTCAGAGTCATAGATCGAGGTTGAAAATATCATTGTCAGAATAACGATACGTTCAAGGGATCTCATCTGATTGGGGCTTTCGTGCCAACCCTTACGAGTTAACACTACTAACCACCATGGAAATAAGGTTAAAAGGTCATTAGAGTTATCAATTCAGGCTCGAAAACATTACTACCATGGAGAAGGCTCACCACGACAATAACATTTCCAAGGGAATCAACTCTAAGCGGGGTCCTCATATCCTTCCAACGAGAAAGGCTCCTCGAGGGATTCCACTACACGACCACCATTTTAATCCTAATTTTTTCTCAGACTCGGGTATAGAGCCATCTCACAGAGTGCCCATAATCCAATAATCATAAGAAATATAGATACGGTACATAAAAATAAACAAGTAAATAAATAAACAAGCAAGCGATAAACAACATAGGAAGAACACAAACAAGCGAGACTAACGCTTACGAATCGAGTCAAGTTAGGCTTGACTCTCTCTAGCATAGGATAATGATAATCCCCAGCAGAGTTGCCAGCTGTCGTACCTCGAAAAAAAACACGATCCTTCGCGAATGGTCGTGGAAAACAGAGTCACCACCGAACTTTATTTATCCCAAGAAGGGATAAGAAAATATCGAGAAAACCTTTAGGAAAAGAACATGGTCATCACAACCAAGTTCTAGGTTCGGGAGTCGGTTAGGCGAGGGCAAGATATTAGCACCCCTCACGTCCGTTGTACTCAACGGGAACCTTTTGATTTGATTCGTGAGAAATTTTAGCCTAGTTTATTTGTTTTCTTCTAAGGAAATAAGGTGAAAAGGTATGGTAAAAGGATTTAGATAATTAAGGAGAAATGGGTGGTTTTAGATTAGGGTGCTCGCCAAGGATTGAGGCCCTTGTGCCTACGTATTTTCACTTGAAAAGAAGTGAAGAATCATAGCGTTCGTAATTCGTGAGACTACGGGAGAAAAGAGAGGAGGTTGCTCGCTAGGATCTCGCAATCCTATGCCTACGTATTCTCATTGACAAATGAGAAATCAGAGCGTCCTTAGTTCGGACTACGGATGTTGGTTTGATTTTATCGAAAGATATTTAGTCGCATTCGACAAGAAATATTGCTTTACCCCAAACGGGTGAGGAGGGGACGCTTGCATCACTTTGAATGAATTTCCATATATCAACATTCATGGGAAACACGTCACTTATCTCGACTCATATAGGTTACAGACGAAACAATATTTTGCGTCGTTCTCAAGACACCATATCTCGCGTTTATAAAAAAGGTTTGACGGTTCGCACGGAGGCAAGAAATTGAATTAATGTGTTTGATGTTTTGTCCGGACGACGATTACTGGAAGCTTAAGAGAGGCTCATCGGGCCTAAGTAATCGAGAGAGTGGGTCAAAGACTTGACTCTTTCTCTTTTTCGATCTCGAAAAGAGGTAGTGTATATAGATTGAACGAGAATAGCTAAAGTATTTTAGATTGCATGAAGATTACTTGAAGCTTAATAAAGGCTCCTCGGACTCAAGTAATCAAGAGAGTGAGTCAAAGGCTTAACTCTTTCTCTTTTTCAACCTTAATTGTGAAGGAATTGAATATGATTCGAGTAAGTTGATCGGATGACGATTACTCGAAGCTTAAGAAAGACTTCTCGGGGCCAAGTAATTGGGAGAGTGAGTCAAAGGCTTGACTCACTTTATTTTTCATCTCAAAAGGAGTTTTTACATATAGATTGAAAGTTGTTTGAGCGATAGAAGATGGTTGAAGTATTTTAAACGGATGAGGATTACTTGAAGTTTAAGAAAGGCTCATTGGGCGCAAGTAATCAAGAATGAGTTAAAGACTCGACTCCCTCTCTTTTCATCTTATATTATGAAAGATCTTTGATATGATTAGAGTCAATTAATTTGGATGACGATTACTCGAGACTTAAGAAATGCTCATCGGGCCCAAGTAATCGGGAGAGCGAGTCAAAGACTTGACTCTCTCTCATTTTCATCTAAGTGTTTAGGAAAATGGATTTAATTTCATTTATATTTTTTAGAAGACAATTGTTTGAGCTTAAGAAAGGCTCCTCGGACCCAAACAATTGAGAAGAGGAATCGAAGACTCGATTCCAACCTCCTTTTCATCTTTTATTGAAATGGTGTTTAAGCATGGTTAAGTGGATTAAGTTTATTTGGATAAAATGCTCGATATGGGTCGAGATTTAAGTTTGTATACGAAACAAATAAAGTTGAACTAATAAAAAGGAGATTCTATGGGTATAGGGTGAGGTCAACGGCGAGGCGAAAGTACTCGACTTACAAAAGGGGTAAAAGGACTTGATATGAACCAAGTGTGTTTAAGAAAGGTTAATGGTTAATTGCATTTGTTTAGAGATACTTGACGTTGGATCAAGTTTATTTGTTTTTGAAGAGAATTAATTTTAATTTCACAAATCAATCATTCAAGTAAGCGTATATGTGAAGTGTATAACAAGCGTCGTTGTACAAAGCCCAAAAGGAGGCTATAAGGTCGATGACGATCATAAAAACAACTGGCTTACCAGGTATTTGAAAATGGCTTGATTAGGAAATCAAGATATTAGTTCGAAAATGAGGTTTAAGCAAACAAGTATGAGATGGCATCAAGGTAATCAAAATATGAAATTAAGCATATAAGCAATCATCAATTAAACAAAAGGATAAGAGATATCAAACAAATCAAGTGGTAACTTAATTAGATGTCATATTGAATATCTAAATTTTATTAGTAAACAAAATATCTAGTATTTAAAGAAACATAAGCTAATGAACCCCCTTTTTTTAGATTTTGAGAAGAAATAAGAATAAAACCCAAATATTCTAATTAAATTAAGCTAAAATATTTAATAAAATTAATAATCAAAATTAATTAATATTTAATAAAATGACTAATAAAATTGAATAGTTAACAAAAATTTATGAATTAATAAAAAGATTATATTTTTTAAAGATTTTTTAGAATAATAAAAAAGGGTGAATAATTTAATTAATTAATCTAAGCAGAAGGGTTGGCATTAATTAAATAAAAAAATTGGAAATAAAATAAATTTCTTTTGGAATTATGGAAACT